TAAAGCAAAATCATCTCCATGGAAAAGAGCATTTGAACGATCCTCCACCAGAAAAGTTACACGATGCACTTTTAAAGTTGAAAAAATACACAAAGATTGCAACTTAGCGTGTACAAATAGCTATTCTTCTGCTATGTACACATAAAAGTCCAGATTAGTCCTGGTGGTTGTGCGTAGGGGGCGGGGAGGGGCAGACACGCCGGATCAAGCAGACTTAAAAGCCTGTCAATCAATCTGAAAGACTGTGCTCAGAGAGTGGCGACACAACTTCACAACAGGGCCCAAAAACCCACTTTATGATGTCTGGAACCGCAGATGTCACTTCAGAGCGTGGAGGGTACAACTTGGTGTATGTCAGAAGACTTCTTTGTACCCAATTACACAATAGACTGTACTAAAACCCAAAAACTGCATGGCCGACCCCATCAGAGAAGAGAAGGAAACGCTGTCAGGGGAGTTCACTGAGCCGAGGGCCAATTTACGCTTGGGGTATTAGGCGGGACCTGGCGTGACCATGTGGAGAAGAGCTAGGACCCCCGGGAGAAGATGGCGGGTCTGGTGAAGTGGAAAGGAGCTCATGTTTGAAGCATAACCTTATTTATTGGAATAGACTTTGGGGGACCACCTGTTGATTGAGTGAGAAGAGGCTGTCAGGGTAATTGGGGCGAGCACGGAACAATTTGGGGGAAATGTTTAATTGTAGTTTTTCTAGTGAAGATATTGATATATACTTTTTAAATCAGTATTGGGGTTACAGAGCACTACTTAAACATGTGCAGGACCAACATTTGTAAAAAGAACAAAACAATAAATTGCAAAGTAAGACATGAATCACATGCATTTTAAAATGTGTTTATAGAAGTCTAAACTAAAATATAAGGTTAGGATATTATAAAAATGTATGCATACTGTCTTTGTAGAGGAAAATATCTGCCTTTGCCATTTGGCTATTTGGAGATTTGAGTTTGATCAATCATTGATTTATTTAGTCAGAGTCAGAGTATGCGCATTTCTGGAGGTGAACATCATCAGCATGACTCCATGCAAATAGAAATGTAAAGCCACATTTCAGAACATTCTCCATGGAGATAGACACATTCTATGCCAGACTGTGCAGCATTACAGGAAAAGGAACAACATAGAAACAAGCAGGAGGTCCTCCTTTAGGCCAAATAACAGCCAGGTTTTTGGAGATGCAAGCACGTTCAGGACGTTTGCCAAGGCAATGAAGAAATTAATAATTTAAAAACATGATTTTATTATGCTTTTTTACAAAATTACTTTCTATATGGTTTAACACAGATTGTCACAAATATGCAACAAACTATTTGGATCAAGATATAATCCGTGATAGCTGCTGCAATCCCCCAGTTGCAAATTTGCAACATAAGCAAATTTCTCTCCTTTTTTTTTTTTGCTATAGTAAGTAAGTTTTTATTTATATAGCGCTTTTCACAGACATGTCACAAGGTGTGACATATGTCTCATTCACTCCATACCCAGTCAAATAAATCATACTTAAAGTCAAAAACACACAAAACATTTTTTACTGGTAGATATCATTAGATAGTTGGATTTCATACTAGAGAACTGTTATAATGGGGGGGGGGAAATGTTTCACTGCATGGGCACAGTAAAGATGACACTAAAATTTGACACTGTGAAAATCTCAAAGCCGACGTACAGATATGAAACTGCACTGTCAGAGGAATCTGAACGTATGGACATAACAAAGGCTTAAGCTTAAAGAAGTTGGAGTTACTGGAGCGAGAAGGACAGCGCTCAGTCCTGGGCCTCAGCTGAAGCTCACACAGCCCCTCGCCCTCCACAGAGTTTACCTTAAATCCTCCATGACACAAACTTTTCAATGGCAGACGTCTAATTAAACAGATGGTTGGGGCTTAGTGCTGAGGAGCTATAGGAGAGGTCAAAGAGATGGAAAAACGCCAAGAACAGAGGACTCTTTGAAATATGCGCCGCACCAAGTCTCAGCCAAGTCCTCCAACTCACTCTAAAGATAACAGTTTGCCTTCAAAGCTGCTACTGCCACCTTCATCAAATGAGACTACATTAACACTCATATTGGTAGTTTAAGGGAAGTCTTTCAGTGTATTAAACCTTTTAGTAATTTTTCTGTAGAGCGTTTTGATTTGCAATTTATGTTTAAAGAAAGATTTAAGTCACAGTACTTTCAATACAGTCTGAGCAGGATCAATATTGACAGTACGAACAGTTTAACTAATACAAGAGTAACATGAATTTCTGAATTTGTAGGGCTGCAGTGTATATAAAAATATTTATATTGGAGTATTAGTGCAAGTATCAGTATCAGTTATTAGAATCCATTTAAGAAACAATGAATCAATTCTGGAGTCCCAGTATCAATTTTAAAGGGTCCATATTACGCGATGTTCTGATCAACGTTATAATCAAATCAAATTATAAATTCTAAATCAATAAATTATAATCATCAAAAACATACTCGGAGTTGTGTTTTCTTTTAGTCACACTTTTATTTATTTATTTTTTTACACATAAACCATGTATACTTTTGGATGTATTTTCTGTTCCACTTTGTGATGTCATGTGGTAATACAGGAGGTGTTCCACTGTGTTTTTACACTGTACACCTTCACATCACATCATGAATCATTTGGATAATTTCAGTTCAAGGATTGCCACTCTCTATACTACAAAACAGTTAAAAGATAGCTGTTAACTTGAAAACTAGGGCTGGGTATTATTAAGAAGTTGGCGATACGATACATACCTCGATACATAGACCACGATACAATACATATCTTGATACAGTGAGATTTCGATTTGATACTATATATTTCATATCGATTCGATACAGTTCAATAAAAAATAATGGCTAATTCATGGCTGTGATACTAAAAGTCTTTGTTAAACCACTTTTTGTGCAAAGTTCATATGAAACACAAACATTTTAATCCTCAAAACAGTGAAAATGTCAACTATAATATAAAATAATTTAATAAAATTTACCAAAAAATACTCTTGGTGATATATCGATACAGCACCCCATGATATCAATACTGTATCATCACATTAAACAATACGATGCATCGATATTATGATATTTTTGCCCACCCCTAAAAACTACCATGGCATGACATCACAAGGTGGAACAGAGCATGCTGATATTTGAAGATGCAGATAGACTAATAATAAAGAGTTACTCAAACATGTGTGAATGAAATAAAACATAACTCCAGGTCTGTTTTTGAGGAGGTAACATTATTCTAGCATGTCTTAAAGCTTTCAAAAGTCCATTTTGCGTAATACAGGACCTTTAACGTTATTTCTTTCATAAACAGACGACAAAAGAGCCTTAACTTTTCTGCATAATGCTAAAATCCAAAACATATTGTCCACATTTTTTAAGATTACGACTCCACTTTGACATAATCACCACATCACTGACGATAATTCTCCACAGCTGCTTTAAGGAAATCCTTGTATTTTAGAAGTTTGTTTAAATAGGACGAAATCACGTTGCGTTTTTCATTTCTATACCGTCTCCGCTAACAAAAAGTCTGAGTGAAGTGTGTCAGTGAGCTAATCACAGTGACTTTATAATGGCATGTTTTCCCATTGCTTTGTCTGCTGTGTTGTCATATAATTGCTTTGTTTCATGCACACAAACACTTGAGATGTACCAGAGCCATGTTCACGAAGCTTTAACTACACCAGCTGCTCTGTTCATTATGATCTGAATTACAATGGCCCTCAACACCAAAGCCTCACTCACATGCTATGTAATGGTACAAGATAAACATGGACTGCTGTATTTGTATGATTAATCTTGGTTAAACCTGCATTGTGAAACATTTTTGGTGGAGAGTGCAAGGTCCGTCAAATGTTTTTCACCATGGAGATGTTATTGCTTTGTCTGCAATGTTTCACAGTATGATATAAAGCTTTCTGTCTTCATGGAGACCAAACCAGACCAAGTTACAGGTCAGATCTGTGGAGAGGCGACCCCGCTCACAGTCCGAATCTGTGTTTTTCTAGGTAAAATTGTAATTGAATAAATGTAAAGTAGGGCTGTTATAATGTCATACTGTGGAACAATCCAGGCAGAGCAGTGCTATATACCCATAGAAACAAGCAGGAGACGGACCCCCAACCAAAAAGTTACATAATGCACCTTTAACAGCGACATTTTGATGATTAGCTGATTTTTTTTATTCTTAAAAATGTGAAAAACTGAACTATTTTGCACTGGTCCAGAGTTATTCCTCACTTACCTTATGTATTCCAAGTGTTCTAATTATTTGCTGCAAAAAGTTTATAAGTCCTTCTCACAGCTCTCAGAGGCCAGTTCAGATCATACAGCTACAAACAACTAGGATGCTAACACACAATTCCTAATTATCGGACAATAATGCTTGCTAAGATGTTTATACAATACATCTGTACTGGGTAAAAATTTTAAGCTGAAATATATGGGTTACAAATCGGTTACAGGTTCTTTAAGACACTTAAATTTTTAGTTTTTTTAAAAATTTAACATATTATGTATTTATTTGGGTAAAACTAAAGCTTTGACACATGCCACAGATCAAAATATATTTAAGAATTACATTTCTTGTAGCGCTTGGGCTTGGAACCACTGTTTTTCAGTTTTTACTGTGATGCCAAATGTGATGCAGTGAGTTAAGCATTTGCCCAACAACCAGAGGATAGCAGGGTTAACCTTGTCCAGGAACATACTTTCATTGTGTCCTTAAGCAAGACACATCCAAATTTCAAACGGTAATAGCACCTAAAGCCAATCGCAAGCTTTGGCTACAACAAATCAGTATCTTGACAATCCATTTTTTTAAGCTTAAAAATCTTCAAATCACTTCTAAATACTAAAATAAGCATTCCTCAGTTTGATGTTATGTTTATTTGAGTGTCCAAAAAGTGTAATGTAATGTAGTATTTACTCAAACCATCACAAACAGTAAATGTTTAAAAGAGGTAGTTACCAGTAGTCGCTGGTGGTCCACTACCACAGGGGGAGGGGCGGGGACAGGTGGACTCTCCTTTACGACCACATCTTCAGACCCCTTTAGCTGCTCTGATTGGCTGCTCTGGCATTTCTCTGCTTTCGAACACTCTGCAGAAACAGAACAGGCAGATGAGAAGAGATATTTACAGATACTTTAGTCGATTCCAAAGAAATTCAGATTTGTTAATCAGTGGTAAAGTTGTAATTTTGCACAGTCACAGCAAAATGTCTTAAAGGGTCCATGCCATGAAAAATAACTCTTTTCACATTATATCTTCTGCACATATACAAGCACAGTTTGGGTTTTGGAACATCCATTACACAATAGTTCTGAAATCTTACTGATTTCTTGGAGACGGTCACAGACCAGGAACTATGAAAGACCGACTATTGCTCCTCCCCCTGCCCGTCCTGAGAAAGCACAGGCTCCACCCTCCAAACGTGAGTGAGCCGCCCTTCTTCCGCCCGTCTCAGGGAGGAGGGGGAGAGAGGCGTGCACCCTGGTAGCGGTAGGAATAAACTTTTATTCATCATGGAGATACAGCGTGTTCAGCCGCATGTGTTGGACCCGGAATCGGACTTTGAGGTGCACGAAGCTCAAGCACCGCGTCGACATCACATGAACATTACTGATTGGTAAAGTATTAATAAACACTAGTAGATAAACTTATTATATCGTGTACACTGCAGTGTAGAACAATGAGCTTATACTGTCGCTTTTGTTTAGGTGTTCATGTGGGAATTGTCAGCCGATGTGGGGTGGAGGCGGTGGAGCGGAGGAGGGGGGCGGGTGGGAAGAGCTTTCTGCTACGTCAAACTCATCATAGGTGTAGCTGATGCATCATTGTTGTAGCAGCTTTAGTTCATTGTCACGTGGGAGGGTGGCAGAAATATGCTGCAATTTGTTTAAAAAATGCCAAATCAATCTAAAAACCACTTGGGCAACAAATACAAGGCCCACACATCACTCTTAGAAGGTAGAAAGCTCTGAAAAGTGGATTTTGCATGAGATGGGCCCTTTAAATGTATGTCACTTTTCTGCTTGTATAAATGAATGTGTTACCTGAAAAGTTCCACACTATGGCATTAAACTAATCTATCTCAATGTAGAAAAGCTGGTGACATGATTAAACCAAGATATAGGTCAGAAAAAAAAGCATGTTCAGCAATAAACCCCTCTAATCGAACAGGATATAAATAGGTTTAATGTCACACTGTGGAACATTTCAGGCAAAGTAATGACATCCAAATGGAGACAAGCAAGTAGCAGATTTAAAGGTGCATTGTGCAACTTTTCTGGTGGTCTCTTATTCATTACATGTGTTTCCATTGATCAAAAATACAGTAATTCCTTCTGTGAATAGGGGCAATGTAATGTAATGTAGGTAATGTAGGTTTAATGTACACAGTGGGACATTTAACATCTCCATAGAGACAAGAAGGTAGCAAACCCTCCACTGGAAATGCACCTTTAATGTCCTCATGAAAGAACTTAGTCAAAGCTATTGATTGCACAATATCTGACTACTGGCCTCCTCTGTATTCATAAGTGATGTAAGAGTTCGATAGAAACAAAGACCGTCTTTATAGCGCTTGTAATGAGAGCGGAGGAGGAGGAGCAGAGCTGGTGGGGTTTATAAAGAGCCAAAGTTTATTTTAGTTTTGTTTTTTTTCCTGCCGCTTTTCCTCCAAAGGCTTCCAGCTGGCCCCCGCTCCCACACTGTGATCCTTAATCAGACTCATTTGCTTTTTGACAAGAGATTAAAGGGCAGCATTCTTCAAAATAAACCAATATTGAAGAGGCGGCAAATACGCAGAAGTGAGTAATGAGAAACGTCTGAAGCTATGAATAAAAAGTTTACATAAAAGTTTAAAAGGAGCAAAAAAAAAAAGGAAAGTTATATACATATTTAAAGGGCTACTTTCTTTCCCTGTTAAAATGTTGCTTCCTCATCAAAAACATGCCTGGAGTTGTGTGCATTTTGAAGATGGAATCCAGGATTACTCAAACATGTGAATGAAACTGAACACAACTCCAGGTCTGTTTTTGAGGAGGGAACATTCTAACATGACTGAAACTTCACAAGAGTCAGTTTTGTGTAATATGTGACTAAAAAAAGTAACCACACCAGCAGAGGCAGCAGCGCATCCAAACACAAACAGGCTCTATTCACGCTTATGTCACAAAACTGAAAGACGTTTGGAAACATGTGGATGCATTAATCAGCTGCCTGTAAGTGACATGGAAGCTGTAATTAGATTACTGCCCCCCATGGAAAGCTTTGGCAGGTTGTGAAGATGCTGCTGCTGAATCCACGATTTTATCACATGTCCAGTGTCGGGAACTACACCGGAAGTCATCAGCCACATGTTTCCAACATCTTCTCGTAAGTGTATGTCCGTTATTCTACTAAGGGTTAAAAAAACATCATTGGGTGTCAGTCTTATTTGTATCACTGTTTTTGCATACTATATAATCACAATAAAGATACCATAGAATATACCAGGGGTCTCCAACCTGCAGCTCAGGAGTTACCAGTAGCTCTCCACCACCTTCCAAGTAGCTCGCCAAAGGATTTCGGAATTATACGTATTGTGTTGAATGGCTCAAATTTAATGACCTACCCTTGTAAATGTGTACTTTTGATGCCTAACTTGGTGCACTAATAAATTAATTTGGGATGGGTATGATTTGTCGACTAATCAATAGTTGATTGTTAAGAATTTCGTTGATCAGGTTAACTTTTTAATCGACAAAGTGAATGTAGCTTGCTGTGCGTAGCGTAAGGAGACGGAGCTGCATCTGACACAAACACTGGAGTTGAGGCCTCACAGTCCCACGTTTGGGCTCTGGCTCCTCCTTGGAGACACTAACACTCAGTGAGTGTGTTTACATGTACATCAGTGTCCTGTCATGGTGCATGTAAACGCAGTATCCCGGTTACTGCAACATACAAGTGCATGCATCCAAAAGACACTTTTCAGTCCTTTCATCACAACAGTAGTCAAAATAAAGTGACCAACATAAATAAAGTGAGTGAAATGCTAAGAGCAGTGCTTTTAGTTTATGCAAATGAGTCATGTGGTTTAAGTTTTGTTTTGGTAAAACGTAAACAAATGTGTCAAAGCTGCATTAAACACATTATAATGTCAAATAGGCTGATGTGGCTCTACAGTGGTTATGGTTTATATGTTGTAAAGTTGAGTTTATTTATCCAGATTAGTAAGAGTAATAATAAAGATGATCATTTTAATATAAAAACATTAATGATTAATCGAAAATCAATCGTTAATTCTCCCGACGATCGATTAAGAAACTTTAATCAAATGCCCATCTCTAAAATGGATAAAGGTTTAGGTTTTATAGGTTTCTAACACTTCCCCATCTAAGGCTTTTCTATGCTCAATTTCTTGTGAGTGCTAAAGTAAATAGCTTTTTGGTGTTTTCTTTTTTGTAAAGGTAGCTCACTGAAAGAAAACAGTTGGAGACCCCTGCTGTAGAATATATATGATGATAAAAACACATAGGAGCATTAAGTATTAAGACGTTACGACCAAAGCATTTCTGTTCATATCGCTTCCCATTTAAAGCCTTAATCTGAAGCGCGAGGTGCTAATCGAAAATTTACCAGAGTAATTAAGCAGTAGGTAGAGCGCGCCTGTCTGCATTTCAGCAAGAACCGCTGTGATTTAATAACAAGTCATTAAAATGAAAAAGAGAAAACTGAAGCTGACACCTTGAATTTTAGCCTTACGTCAACAGCCTCCTCAGACGTGTGTGTGTGTGTGAGCTAATGAAAAACAAATCTGCTCGCTTTAATGACAGGCCCCAAAGTCAACAAAAATAACACTAATTAATTCAACACGCTGGGAAATATGGATATCTACATTTAGATAAAATGACTGTAATTCAGGAAATATAGAATGACTTGAGTAGAGCTGACTAGACGATTTTTTTTTTTAAAAGTGCAACGTTAAAGGTGCATTGCGTAACTTTTCTGGTGGAGGGTCTGTCAGCTGTTTGTTTCTATAGATATGTCATTGCTCTTCCTAGAATGTTCTGCAGTATAACATTAAAGAGTTCTACCATACATTTAATTACACTTAGTTTTATAGCTCAAAAACACTTAATTCTGACAGTGAGCGGGATCGCCTCTCCACAGATCTGACCTGTAACTTGGTTTGGTCTCCATGACAATAGAAAGGTTTAATGCCATACTGTGAAACATTCAAGACAACACAATAAAATATAGAATGACCTGAGTAGGTCTGAATAGAAAATAATTTTAAAAGTGTGTAACGTTAAAGGTGCATTGCGTAACTTTTCTGGTGGAGAGTCCGTCAGCTGTTTGTTTCTATGGATACGTCACTGCTCTGCCTAGAAAGTTCCGCAGTACAACATTAAAGAGCCCTACCATACATTTATTCAATTACAGGTGGTTTTATAGCTCAAAAATACTTCATTCTGATGGTGAGCGGGGTCGCCTCTCCACAGATCTGACCTGTAACTTGGTCTGGTTTAGTCTCCATGACAATCGAAAAGTTTAATGCCACACTGTGAAACATTCCAGACAAAGCAACACAATATTGAACGACCTGAGCAGGTTTGAATAGAACATTTTTTTTAAAAGTGTGTAACGTTAAAGGTGCATTGTGTAACTTTTCTGGTGGAGGATCCATTAGCTGATTGTTTCTATGGATACGTAATTTCTCTGCCTAGACTGTTCCGCAGTATGACATTAAACAACTCTACCTTACATTAATTCGATTACAGGTGGTTTTATAGCTCAAAAATACTTAATTCTGACTGTGAACGGGGTCGCCTCTCCACAGATCTGACCTGTAACTTGATCTGGTGTGGTTTCATGCCATACTGTGGAACATTCCAGACTGGGAAGGTCTGAATAGAAAATTATTTTTAAAAGTGTGTAACGTTAATGGTGCATTGCGTAACTTTTCTGGTGGAGGGTCTCTCAGCTGTTTGTTTCTATGGATACGTCATTGCTCTGCAGTATAACATTAAAGAGCCCGACCATACATTTATTTAATTACAGGTAGTTCTATAGCGCAAAAATACTTCTGACTGTGAGCGGGGTCGCCTCTCCACAGATCTGACCTGTAACTTGGTCTGGTTTGGTCTCCATGAAATAGAAAGGTTTAATGCCACACTGTGAAATATTCCAGACCAAGCAATACAATATAGAACAGTCTGAGTAGGTTTAAATAGAAAATCATTTAAAAAGTGTGCAATGTTAAAGATGCATTCCGTAACTTTTCTGGTGGAGGGTCTATCAGCTGTTTGTTTCTATGGATACGTCATTGCTCTGCCTAGAATGTTCCGCAGTATAACATTAAAGAGCTCTACTTTACATTTATTCGATTACAGGTGGTTTTATAGCTCAAAAATACTTAATTCTGACTGTGAGCGAGGTCGCCTCTCCGCAGATCTGACCTATAACTTGGTCTGGTTTGGTCTTAAATGAAGATAATGCCATACTGTGAAACATTCCAGATCAAGCAATACAATAAAAAACAGTCTGAGAAGGTTTGAATAGAAAATTATTTAATAAGTGTGTAATGTTAAAGATGCATTGTGTAACTTTTCTGGTGGAGGGTCCATCAGCTGTTTGTTGCTATGGATATGTTATTGCTCTGCCTGGAATGTTCCACAATGTGACATTAAGCAGCTCTACCGAACATTTATGCAATTACAGGTGGTAAATACCTAGAAAAACAGGTATTCTGACTGTAAGCGGGGTCACCTTTCCACAGATCTGACCTGTAACTTGGTCTGGTTTGGTCTCCATGACAATAGAAAGGTTTAATGCCATACTGTGAAACATTCCAGAATGTAAATATAGAATGATCTGCGTAGGTCTGAATAGAATTTTTTTTACATGTGTGTAATGTTATAGGTGCATTGCGTAACTTTTCTGGTGGAAGGTCCGCCAGCTGTTTGTTTCTATGGATACGTCATTGCTCTGCCTAGAATGTTCCACAGTATGATATTAAACAGCTCTACTTTACATTTATTCGATTACAGGAGGATTTATAGCTCAAAAATACTTAAATGTTGCCTATTGGGGTCACCTCTCCATAGATCTAACTTGTAACTTGGTGTGGCTTGGTCTCCATGCAGATTGAAAGGTTTAACGCCATATTGTGGAACATTCCAGACAAAGCAATAAAATCTCCATGGAGAAAATCATTCAACACATTCTCCACCAGAAAAGTTACACAATGCACGTTTAACTCACCCCGCTGTGAAATATGGATATCCACATTTAGTTAGAGTGACAGTGATTCAGAAAATATAGAATGCTGTGAGTAGGTTTGACTATAAAGGAATAATCTCGAGCGTGTAATGTTAACAGCTGGGTGCCATTTGTACGGAAGCCCTGCAGGGACAAATGTATGCACACACACAAAGCACTTTTTTTTCTTATTTCAAGCTAATCAGCCGCCAGTGACAACCTGAAAGAAATCCCACTTATGATGAGCTGTTAACTAATCTATGTATCAAAAGTATAAAACACACTGTCAAAAAGACTCCAAATGGATATATTCTTGATAAATTGCCTCAATAAGTACATTGTAATGTACTTTTATATCCTGTTATATGTAGTTTTGTTGTATTTAAAGGTAATATATTACACAAAATTGACTCTTGAGAATGTTTTTACCTCCTCAAAGACATACAGTACCTGGAGTTGTGTTTTGATTCATTCACACGTTTGAGTAATTCATTATTATTCATCTGTCTACATCTCCAAAGCTCAAACTGCTCTGTTCCACCTTGTGAGGTCAACTTAACAGCTATGTTTTACATTGTGTTCAGCAGACTGGATAACAGGCTCTATTCACGCTTACGTCACAAACCAGGAGGACGTTTGGAAACATACGACGACAACTTCCGATGTAGTTCCCGACACTGCGCTCACCGACCAACTGATCAAACCCACTGAAGTAAATGTGATCAGCAGTAAAATAAAGGCTGCATACATATGTGCTGTTTGGAATCATCTGGAATTTGGACCCTCATTTCTTCTAATCACATCTACCATATTTTCTGCACTATTAGGCGTTCTTGATTATAAGACGCACTGTCACTGAATGGTCTATTTCAAACTTTTTTCACAAATAAACCGCACTGGACTTTAAACGAAACACAATAGTTGGATGGGTGAGTGGTTTTGTTTGTTTGGCGCGTTCACGGTGACTCTGGGCTTTGTTCAGTTGTGGCGTGTAGGGAGGATGCTGTCTGGGACCAACGGATTGTCAGCATGTTCGCAGTGACTCAGTTGTTCAGTCGTGTCTAGAAGTGGCACATTGCACTCGCTTTTTCGGTTCGTTCCTCCGTTCCGTTCCTTGTCGGCGTGGAGTGATGAGTGTGTCTGTGGGTGTTTGTCGCTGTGCGGTCGCTATCTGCTCATGTGTGTATTTGTGTGTTCTGCGGATGGTGCTGCTTTGTAGTTTACTGAAGTCGTGCTGGGACACCCGAGTGGATTCGTGTATATGGCGCTCTGGATTGTGGGGTGCACAGTCTTTTATGGGGTTGGAGGCTTAGGAGCGCACCCTATAGCTCGGAAAATACGGTACCCATACAAAAACTTAATATCTATTTCACAGACTATTTCATAGAGCTACCAGCAAAGAATTCTTGAATTTGTGTTCATTTATTTCTCATACAAAGGAATATGGGGGAGTAGAAAGACTTCCTCATAACTCTAGCATGAAATGTGTCGCTCAGTAACATAAACCAATGTTAAAACACAACACAACAGCGATAATCAAACAAAGACAATCTGCTGAGATTGTCTTTGATTTTGTGCGCTTCTGCTGAGCGTGATCTTCAGTGACGTGTTCGGAGGATTTTGACCCGGAGTTGTGTTGCATTCTCAATTATTGGATCCTCTGCTCTTTATTTAGGCTACATTATTTAACCAAATCATGGCAGTTGACAAATTAAACTTTTGAGGAGAAATGCGATATGGAGAAGTTACATACTGCACAAATTTTAAGACCCAGATATAAAAATTCAAGACTTTTTTGATTATTTTTAAAGTATTATTTTCAAATTCATAAATAAAGTATTACTTCCAAAATCAAAAATAAATTTTAAGACTTTTCAAGACACCGTAGGAACCCTGTTACTACCACAAACAAAGCCCGCAGGAAGTTGTCATCACATGTTTCCAAATGTCTTCCTGGTTTGTGACGCAAGCGTGAATACAGCCTGTTTCACCCCTGGAATTGCCAAATGATTCTAGTGAAGGTGAAGGACATGACATCACAAGGAGTGTTTTCAGTTTGAGAGAAGAACTCCTAAATCTGCAGGGTTTGTGTGTTAAAGACGTGTAAATGAAACAAAACAACTCCAGGTCTGTGATGAGGAAACTACACTAGAACATAGATCAGAAAAAACGTAATATGGCCCTTTAAAGTCAAAGTATCTATATATCAACACACTGTAAAGAATGGATATCTACATTTAGTTAAAGCGACTGCAGTTAAGAAAACAGAATGATTTGAGTAGGTTTGACTAAGAATTATCTCGTCCCTATCTAATGCAAAGGTGCTTGGACTATACCTTCTTTACTCGTCTCTTCTTCTTCTACCCTCTCCGCGGCAGTACTTTCTTCTTGGGGAGACTGCTCCTGAGTAGATTGGCTGTTGTGCTCTTCTGGTTCAGGTTTAGCGGGGTCATTATCCAGACCGGCCCCGCTCCCCCCTGTCTCGCTGCTGCTGGGAAGGCTATGCGAATACAGACTGTCCATGGACTCATTCCCATTGACACACACCAGCAAACCTTCTATGTGCTTGGGTGGCGGTTCTGTGTCCGAGGATTCTGAAATTTCTATAGAAGGCTGTTTATCCCCCTCGCTTTTGGCTTCACCGTCGGGACACTGCGGGACGTTTTGGGAATTGTCTTTGGCTGTGGATTGGTTTTCGGGTGGCTCGTTGGAGCTCTCCTCTTCCGTGGAGGGGAGGTTGGGTAAGTGTCCGTTGGTTTGGGGGCCCGGGGTATCGCAAGAAGATTCCTCGTCCTGAGTGAGACATGACGCGTCCCCTTCGCCCTCCCCCTCGTGCTCCTCCTCTTCCTCCTCTTCGGCCTCCGTCCCCTGGTCTTTGCTCTTGTAGTATTTCTTCTTGCGGATGATTCCTCGACCCCAAGTGGACCGCCGTCGCATCTTACGTTTTATGTGATCTGCGGAAAAATAAATAAGAATGTAAGAGATTTTTGCATTCAAAAATAAAAATACATTGAATTATAAGTTGAATCCACTGCAATTTGTACATCAATTTGTTAAAACTATCTACAACTACTAACCAGGACTTATCGGAAAAAAGTTCAAAAATGAAATGGCATAAAGGTGAACTATGTAACTTTTCTGGTTGATGGTCTGGCACCTGCTTACACAGCATTCGGCTCCAGTCAAATGAAGCTCTTTGAGGCTGCAGTTATAGGGACAAACTTGGAGCTAAGTTCCATATTTGGAATTCCGACCATCTCACCTGTTGCTAACACTAGCGGGAGTGACCTTAGGAAAGAAGGCGCCTGATTGGTCAGATGTTAAAGTTCATATTTTGATTTATGGACAAAATCGTGAAATAAAAACACTAGGATCATGTAGAGCGGGTTAATACAAACTAGGGATGGGCATGATTAGTCAACTAATCAATAAATGATCATTAAGAATTTTGTCGATCACGTTTATTTATAATTGACAAACCAAATGTTGGCTGCTGTGCGTAGCGTAGCGTAAGGAGACGAGGCTGCGTCTGACAGCGCAAACAATGTTGTGGCTTCACACCCCCACATTTGTGCTCTGACTCCTTGGAGATCACTACTCCACTCAGTGAGTGTGTTTACATGCACATCAGTCTCCTGGATATGAGATATTGTTTTTTTTGAGTATCCCGGTTTTGTCATGGTGCATGTAAGCGCAGTTACTCCCAGTTACTGCGACATAAAGTTGAGTGCACATGTGTCCAAAAGACAAACACTTTTCCGTTTTTTCATCACAACAGAAGCCAAAATAAATAAAGTGACCGACATAAATAAAGTGAAATGATGTTAAAAAAAGAGCTGCACTAAACCTGCCCACGTCTGATCTCTGAAAACATGAACCATCTCCAACACGACACACACACAGAACACACTCACCATCATCATCATTAAAAGCCCTCTGTTACAGAGAGAACACTCAGATTCCACTTAGTCATGTTGTTTAGTCCGACAGAAAGTGAACCACATCAGCGCACAAGGAAAGAACTGTTTTTTTCAGTACTTATAGTTTATGTTAATGATCCGTTGTTTTAAGTTTCGTTTTGGTAAAACTTAACAAACGTGTCAAAGCTGCATTAAACACATTATAATGTCAAACGGGCTGATGTGGCTCTAGAGTGGTTATAGTTTATTTATGCACATTAATACTAATAATAATGATGATCATTTTAATATAAAAACCTTAATGATTAATCAAAAGTCGATCATTTATTCTCCCAACGATCGATTAAGAATATATATATTTATATATATATATTTATATATACAGTCTATAAGCACCACCAGAAAGAACTCAGAACAGAACTCATATCTATCAAAACTATTTCTTAGCTGCCTACATCACAACATTTTTTTTCCCCACCACGGGTTACAGAATATAACTAGAAGGCCCTATGCTTGCATTATTTGTGAGAGCATTTTAAAAAACTCAAACCAATACAATTCTGCACAAAAAATATCTGCACATAAAAAACATAGAATCAGAAAACTCATAAAAAAGACATAAAAAAGTTTGGTTCACAAAAGCAATCCACAGTCAACAAAGGGATAAGCTGCACTTTCTAACACGCTACAAAACGCGAAATATGTTTCATAACAAATGCCCCGCGGAGATGGACCATATTTAAATGTGGTCAGATGGCCTTTCAGAGACAAACAGCAGCGGGTGAGTGAAGCTGCCGGCTGGACCAATAGAACGCGCTCTTGTTATATTATGAATGTTGGACGGTAATGGCACCAGATGGAGCATGGGGGATTTTAAAGAGGAAAAAGAAACCCAGCCTGTTTTCTGAGAGCACTTCACATGACACGAGCGGCTAGCATAGAGGTGGTCAGGCCTGTCAACAAAAATAAGATACGCAGATATTAACTGACAAAAAGATGAGCGCGAGATATCGATGTTGGAAAGTAACTTCTAAATGGCTGGTTTTTAGACGCACTACAAAATGGTAGAATGAAAAAAACAAGACAGTTATTGTGTTGAACATTGAAAATTATTACAAAAGAGATGGAGAAAGTAAAGAAGACCAAGTATTTTTTTCACAGTGCTATTGCTTTAAAGGTCCTATATTACGCAAAATGGACTCCTGTGAGCTTTAAGTCATGTTATAATGTCATTACCTCATCAAAAACAGACCTGAAGTTGTGTTTTGTTTCATTCACACATGTTTGAGTAACTGTTTATTATTAGTTTATCTACAGCTCCAAGGGTCAAAATGTTCTGTTCCACCTTGTGATGTCATGAAGCAGTAGTTTTTAAGTTAACAGCTACCTTTTATCTTTAGTTCAGACGAGATTGGTGGAGATTACAAAGGTGAAATCATCCAAACGATTGTAGCAAAGATGTATAAAATCTTTGAAAACACAGTGGAGCACTTCCTGTATCACCATATGACATCACAAGGTGGAACAGAGTGTTTCCTTTAAGAAAGAACCCAGTCTAAAAATGCAGGGTTTGAGTGTGAATAAAATAAAACAACTCCAAGTACCATATTTTCCGCACTATAGGGTGTGCATAAAAGCCTTTAATTTCATCCCAAAACGACTGCGCACTTTATAGTCCAGAGAGCCTTAAAGTGCGGAAAATACGGTATGTTTTTGATGAGGAAACATTATAACATAGAACAGAAAATAGCGTAATATGGGACCTTTAATATTTAACTCATGTAATGTGGTCTGTGTCTTTTAATTATTTTTTGATTGGTTTTATTTATTTATTGCTAGTCTATGGTTTTGCTCTTATTTTATTTAACTGGTTTTATTGTTTTAAAGACTTGTATGTAAAAAAAAGAAATAAAAATTAACATATTTTATTAAATTTTCAACATTTTAACACAAAAAACAAACAAAAAACAGCAGACTGAGCACATGTTAGAGTTTTCCTTATTACATAAATATTACCCAATTAAGCAAGACACACCGACCTGGTCAAACAGGTAAACCAACAGCTCGACATGACACTGAGCCTGTACCTCTCTGTATAATGACACTGAGATCACCGGACAAGTCGTCAAGCAGAGGCCGCCACAACTCCATAAAAAACTCCCTTTACCTTTCAATTTTGCACTCACTCTTTCCATGGGTAAGACTCTAAAAATTTCTTTATACTACTGGGTGACAGTTAGTGGCTTCGCATCGATCCAGTTAAACAGCACACATTTCCATGTCAGAAACAGTAATTTAGCCACCAATTTTAATTTACTTTTGTCTGTCACTTTGTTTAAAGGTGGCAGCCCCAACAGACTAACCTGGTTCATCAGACGGTTTCACTTTGTACAAACTGTCTGACCTCGCAGTGTTAGAATTCGTTTGCTCGACGGTAGGCAGGTACTTTTTATCATTTAACCAATCACTGCTATTTGGTCATGATGTATATAATGCGCCGCTAACAGGGATAACTGGTAGATTAAGCTGTTCGCAGATCCCGTAGGAAGAAGGGCAATAACGTCTTTCCCCTTGATAAAATTCACCAAACATTCTCTTTGTTCCAGCTTTAAATCATCGATCTCAGGAATCGTTGACAACACAGAATATATGACTCTTCGCCGATTGGCTGATGCCTGAACTTACACTTATGGGGTTTTTGCGAACCATCTAGTGTATTCTGATTCCTGACCTAGTCACTAGAGAGAAATGAAATTGAGTGGAGGCAGTAGGTGGCGCCAGCCTGACTACTAACAGACACCAACTCGGATCTTCACTATTTTTCATTTCACTGTGCTGCTTATTTCTTTAGTCATACATACAGATTTTTGAAGTCCAGTGGGTTTATTTTATCATTATATTTTTATTGTTGTTATTAGTATGTATTATGGCTAGTACTGCTCAGATTTAATCATATAGCCAAAAAATAACTATAAATTCCCCAGTAGTGTAAAGAAAATGTACACACAATAAACCACGGTATCCCCAGGTTTAACTATCTCAAATTTAAGACTTTTTTAAGAGCTCTTTAAGGCCACTCAAATTAAAATTAGACCAACATCGCACCCATTATGCGAACGAAAAACACCAAATTCAATTCTAATAAATAATGACCGACCAACTACTGCATCTAGAATCTAAGAGCCATTGTGGATCAAACCGACACTTCCATGATCCATCCAATGTCTTCCTCCACTCTACTGATGGTTTACTCATTGCCGTCGGTGCCAGAAACCAAAGTATTTTTTGCGCATACTCCAAATTAGACGTTCATTCACGTTACATGATTTCACGTTGTTGCTGTTTTTTTTCCTCCATTTAACGTTGCACTGCAGCCTGGTTGAGTTTACAAAAAAAAAAAAAAAAAAAGGCTAATGAAATGTAAGACCTTTGTGAAAAAAACTAAATTTAAGACTTTTTAAGACCTTAATTTAGGAACATGAAATTTGTATGACTTTTAAGACCCCGCGGCTACTCTGTAAATACTGACCCCAGAATATTGTACACTGAACGCTAAGTCAATATAGTAATTATTATAACACTATGACAAGGTAGCGAGCTTAAACCACAACGTTTTTGCTTTCAATTATAAAGGTTTTACATGGGTCCCATCATTAAGACGGTAACAACAGTGTGTGAAAGACAAGAGGAGATGGAAAAACACTGCAGACTACCACAAGTCAGGGCTCTGGGGACGTCTGTGTCTGAGCCTGACAATTAGCAGGGTTAACACAGCCTGTCAGGAGCACAGTAAAAGATCTCCTATCCAATTCTACTTTTTTTTTTTCTTAAACCACGGTTCATTTCATAGGTTACTGTTTGAAGGTTAATTAATTTCTGCATTAACTTTCTAAAGGGGTTCACAGCTTGACAGGGGAGCTCGTCTATTCTGAAACCCCTGAACAAAGTCGCCATCTTTTAAAGTCTAAGTTGAAGTCTTGAGCTAAAAGTTAATGATTTGTATAAGTGAAGCACAGTGGGTCATTTAAATGTGC